TTCCCTATCCTTTTCTATAGTGTATCGATGACGCTTGGGATATGCAACTGAAGTTGTCCCTCCGTTTGAATCGCGCCATGCTGTCAAGAGCGCTCTTGCACAGTTGAGGTGCGATGCTTTGGATCGCTCTATTGCTAGAAGGCGAAACCAGTTCGGTGCAGGTGCCATACGGTCGAATACGGAACACCTTCTAAAACCTAACTTTATACGTCAACCTTCACCACATCTCAAATCCTATGAAGTTGTCCGACGGTGAAGTGATAGGGAATGGAATGAGTCCGCGCACACCAGAAAGGGAGATCCCCACAGGGCTCCAACGTCATCTGGAGCGACGAAAGTAAATTTGGGATGTTAGGACACCACAGTGCAACACATGTGTGGCGTTCCGCCGGAAGAGGTTTCGATTCGAAGTATCAGCTGCTATCCGTGAAACGAGGCAGAGGCTCGTTTACGTTAGTCTGTAAAAGAGGTGCAACTACAGCATAGAATTTGAGAAGTGGTGAAGGCTCACGTATGGAGTTAGGTTCTAGAAAGTGTTGCGTACTCAATGGTATGGCACCTGGCCCAAACTGACTTCGTCTTCTAGCAATAGAGCGATCCAAAGCATCGCACCTCAACTGTGCAAGAGCGCCCTTGACAGCATGGCGCGATTCAAACGGAGGGACAACTTCAGTTGCATATCCCAAGCGTCATCGATACACTATAGAAAAGGATAGGGAAGGTCTTGGCAAGAGGCTAGGAATATGGCGAGAAACTCGTCAAATTTGAAGGAAAGTTGAGGAGGTTGTCCCAATAGATAGTGCTTTCATTGACTGGTTCCACACTTAGGCCCTGTTGAGGTTTCAGCAACTCCAAAAGGCTACTAACAGAGTACTGAATGTGCTTGTTGTTACTTACCATTCCGTCGATTGTTTTGTTGAATTATAAGCTTCTACAATAACTTGAAACCTACTTGGAACGTGCCGCTTGCTATCATCTCGAAGCTGTCTCCAAGTGGGAAGCGTGCATGCCGTACTGACTATGGGCTTACCCATGGCCCAATTTTTGAATTCGGGCCGAAATCTTGATCTTCTCTAAAACTGCGGCTATAAGGGTAATTATAGGCGCTGATTACGAATCTGACGTCCATTTTTGATGGAGGCGCGATATTGCGCCATTTTAGCCTCCTCGGGCACCAACTCGGCGCCGCTTTAGCGCCATACAATTTTCGCCCCAATTCTGGGCAGAAAGCTAATCAGAAAGGTTGATGATGACCCTGATTGTAAGAACAGTACCTATTTTTATCGGCGGTAACATTTGGAGTCATTTAACATGCGCTAACATGAAATGCAAAATTTTGTCATCAGCCGGGACCGATCCCTCGACCGATTTTTCATACCTTTTTTGGCATTAGGAGGGCCGCTCAGAAAAAATGGAGCCTAGTTTTGTACTCCATGCATGTGCCCCTTTATCATGCAAAAAACCGTTTTCAAAAAGGGCTCCATGTCCTGAAAGACCTTCCTGGTAAGATGTGCAAACAACATCCGTTGCTTACCTGCTTATCTCTTCCAGTGATGTGGTCGAGTGATCCCTGGTGCAGTGGCAAAAACCGGCTATGAGTCCTACCATCCAGGGTTCAAGTCCGAGAGTGGCGCAAGTTTTGCAGGTAGTGTGGCGAGGCTGGCGGTTTCAAGAAGGGTCATGTCCATGTTTCCACGTTCCTTGTTCCTCATCAATAGGGAAAAATCATCACATTTGATTCTTCTCATCAGTTCAGGGCACTTAAAGGCAAACCCCGAACTAAAACTGGTGTATAAAAGCACACCATAGTGAAGGATGAGCTGCAAGTAAAGTGAAGTGAAAAACAAGAAAAACCATCTAAAACGCTAAAGTTAAGGCTTTAACGTCTAGTGAGGTCGGATGTATTAGGGTGGTAAAAAAGCCGGAAGACGAACAGATCGCTTTACAGAACAGCAACCAGAGGAGCGACAAGAAATCTCAAACGCTCAAGAATTTTCCGACAAGGACTATTTATTTCACCTAATTCGCGAGAGCTTTGGAGAAAATGAAGAACAGGAGATCAATGTCAAGAAGGCTCACAGTACATGCCAGCAAAGGCGCTCAATTCAAGATATCGCTCGTTCAACCCCTAAACCCCCCTCGACGGTAAAAACCTCGAAGATTTAGAGCGTGGTTCACGCCTACTCCCTACTCGAGTCACAGAACGCTCATCAGGTATCAAACCTTGGGTCAGATGCGCCTTCTGCAGGAGACAAGACGTTCATTACTCCGACTCATGCCCTAAATTTCCCCGGCGACCAGCGATACCGCCTACTCGAGAAGACGACAAGTGTGTCTACTGTCTAGAAAGATGCAAACCTCTAACGTGGTATACGCGTGAAGAAAGGGAAAAGGAAATTCGTGTTGGTATTGTGGGATAGTAAAAAACACTGAAGCAAAAGACAATGGGCACCATCGCTCGTTACGCACTATACCAAACTCGAAAGGAAGGACGAGAGTGCCATCGAGATGTCAGACGAGTGCTGAAGCGTCAAAGTTAGATAATAGCAACTGTTCCGCTCCGGGAGTGTAGCAAAAGCTACATTAATCAGTTGAGAAGCCTTAGATTGCTGTGAGCCACCGATCGGCTTATCAGCGTTCGGATCTAAATGCACGTTTGCAGTGGGTTAGCTTGAAAAGGAAACCGTCTCAAAACATGTTTTTTTTCTCTTTTGAAGGTTTAGCTTTAGCTTGAAAAACCCAATTTCTCAAAATATAAGTTTTTATCTCTTGTGATAATATCATTTTTCAAATGATGTTGTTCTGCGCGATAGCTGCATAAAAGAAGGTGATTCCAACCAGGGTGAAAATCGTGTCGAGTACGTGGTCGCAGAAGTACCCCCCCCCCCCCCCCCCCCCCCCCCGAAATCGAGATCCTGGCACGACCCCCCAAAACAGAGCAAATTAATTCAATTAATTAATCAAAATAAATCCTGCAAAATAAATCAAAAAATCCTGCAAAATAATGTTATGGACGCCTCATCTTGTCATCTGTGCACTGTCTTTCATCGCTGCACACTTTTGTGTATTTACTGAAATATCGACTCGAGGAAAGAGGCATTAACTTTGTGTGACCTCAAAGTCAGGTTCGTTCAGAAATGCACAGAAATCCTGAAGGCACGGGGTTGCGATTTAATCTTGATTCTGCTTGAGTATATCGAAACAGCCGAGTGTATCAATCAAAGGCCGATTCAACGGCAGCTGCGGCGCGATTGTCACTGGGTCAGATTTGCCTGAAATTTCAAAAAAAAACGTCCGAAATCTACACCCTCGATGAAAAGGTTGCATTTCCTCCATTTCATAACCTTTGAAGCAGTTTGAGGTAGGTTAGATAGAGCTGGATTTCGCGTTTCCAAGAAGTATTGAAATTGCTCTGAAAGCCTTCCATGCAGAAAGATAGGGTCTCTCAAATTTCGTCGAGTAAACGTCGAGGACGCTGAAATTTTCACGCGAGTTTTTGCCACTTCAAGAGCAATATCTCTCTTAAACGTGAGATCCTGAAAAAGTGAAGATAGTTTTGGAAAGCGGAAGGTTTGCGCTTTCTGATGGTCTTCTTAGCTTTCTTCTACATTTCCTAGTTGAGAAGATATCTGCGTCGAGTATGTATCGAGGACGGATCCGGCCACCTGAAAATCCGCTCCCTCCTTCACCATTGCAAGTGTAATTGTTGGCAACGCTTGAAATGGGTCTAGAAAACATCCTCCCAACATAAGCAATAGGAAAAGGGGCAATCGTCATCATCGAATTTTGTCTGAGTATAGGCCATGCATCCGACCTCACTCGAAGTTGCAGAATCGATTCGAAGGTGTCATATGATCATGACCAGTTGACAGAAGCTGCATTGTAGTAAACGCATTTCGTAACTCCTACAACCTAAAGAACAACTTCATTTGCCTCAGGGCCGTATGCAACAAGCCCCGAAGGTCTTCGGGGATATATCCCCGAAGTCGTATGCAACAAGCCCCGACGATCGTCGGGGACATATCCCCGAAGTCGTATGCAACAAGCCCCGACGATCGTCGGGGACATATCCCCGAAGTCGTATGCAACAAGCCCCGACGATCGTCGGGGACATATCCCCGAAGTCGTATGCAACAAGCCCCGACGATCGTCGGGGACATATCCCCGACGACCTTCGGGGCTTGTTGCATACGGCCCCAGGGCTTTTCCTTCACGGTTGTCGTTTTTGTGACAGGGTAACAAAAACAGGTCCCTAACAACAGTGTCATTCTCAGCGAGGTATTAAGGGAGAAGGAGCGAGCGATAGGCAGAGGAGGTGCCTTTGCAGCGCGTGCGCACATGTGGCAGTCTTCTTTGCGGGGATGCACTTTCATTCTTTGTACTGCCTTCAAATACGCCCTTCTCATGAAAGGTGGAGGAATGGAGCGACTGAACCTGCAAAGAAAATTTAATATCATGTTTTTTTTCAGATATTTTCATTTTCTGCTGCGCTATACCCTCTTACCTATCTGCACCACGATACCACTGCTGTTACTGACCCCAAGAGTACGACCCCCCATGGACCAGCCCGACAGGTACGACCCCCCTGTCGAGGATTTCCTCGACCGATATTCACCCTGGTGGCGGTGCAGCGTTGACCTGCAATTGATGAATTGAAAATATCTAAAGCTGACCTAACTTTTTGTGTATTCTCTAGAAAGTATACTTCCAGATTTGAGAAATCCACTCTTGTGCTCAGCGCTCTGTGAAACAAATAATCTTTAATAATCTATCTTTCCTTTCGATAGTCATCAAATAAATCCTGCAGTCGTTCCCCTGTGAGTACACAAAAGAATTGTGAGCGCTTCCTCGGAAGCCTTGGCCTGTACCATTCAGTGACCAATGGGTTTTGTTTGCAGCTCGAATTAGGGGTCGGCGCACGATGTAATACTGTTAGAGGCTAAGAGGACGGCCACTCGTGGCCTAAGCGAGCAACCGATCTTCGCAATTGTAACCATTTAATGTCAGAGGTAAGTTCTATTAAAGTGATACACTTTCATTGACATACTTTATTGGAACATTTCTGAACCTCTTATGGAGAACCCCTTTATGAGCTCAGTTTTCAGCTCCTCTCAAAGGCTGTACCGATCGGCGTCAAATGTCGTGATGGTGTCGAGAAACTTCTTCAGCGCCTTTTTCGCCGACGCAATTTTTCCGGAATCACAACATTCCTTCCGATTCTCACTTGGCTACCACATTATGACTGGTCTCATTCTTTCTTCGGTGATCTCTCTGGTGGACTAACAATGGCTGTCTTTTCGGTACCACAAGGTTCGATTCAATGTAATAATCTACTTGACTCTTTGGTTGTAAACTTGTGACACACCTGAGCTCAATTTGTAACTGGTTGTCGGGGATAGATCACCAATTACGGGTTGTCTTCACACAAACCCCATGCCACCAACGCAGCTCACGCATCTAACGCAACAGATGAATACAACGCTAGTCATCACGTGAAGCGGCCATTGATTGCTCTATATACACAGTTTCCGAAAAACTAATGCTGATCTTGCAATTTGTATTTCAGGTATTGCCCTAGCTGGAATTACCGGAGTGCCACCGGTATATGGTCTATACACAGCAATATTTCCATCGTTTCTCTACATTTTTTTCGGTACATCAAAGCACAATGCCTTGGGTGAGTAACTTGTTTGTAAATATCAATAAAATTTGCAAGTGTTGCGCAAAGGATGACCCAGGAAGAAAACCGCTAGGCAAGAAGGCAAGAAGTAGACCCCTACTATGCTCTTCTACTTTTTCTATTCGATCAGCTTAGTCTGCACGCTAAAACGCGTAGTGACACGAAAGCTACCAAAAGCTACCACTGTTCGATGACGTACATCGCATGTAAAACGACTTGGGTGTCACATGGTTTTTTCGTGTAAATAAATGAATAGTCTGGTCATATTTGGCTGAACACTGGAAAACAACGTCTAACTCAAACACAACCTTTAAACCACTCAAATTGCATACAAGGATTAGTGCTGAGTATTCGGTGCAAGTCGAAGACTTCGCTTATGACCTGAGGACGGGAGCATTTTGCAATACACTTGTGATTTTCTTCCCTCGCATGTTGTATGTGCCAGGAAACGAGCGTTCTAGAAAAGTATTGGGCCAGCCAATGTGGTCCCCGCCAACTGGGGCACGGGTCCCACTCACGGCTCTTTGCAGATATCTCTATCCTATTAGACACTACTGTTGTACTTAAAGGTGCCACTTCTTTCGGAAAATCTCGTTTCACGATTTCATTTGTACACAACAGTTGAAAGCTAGGGTGTCGTTGTCCGCACCGAAATTCCGCCCTCCCCCTCGCCCCTTTAACACATTCACGCCGATGGCCGCCCATATGGGCTGCCAACAACATGCGCTCCTGGGACGATGGCAGCCCATATGGGCTGCCAACTGATAATCGCTTGCCAGGCGCTAGGAATGGACAGATAGGTGGGCGTAAAATGCTTTTAAATTCCTTCACGGGGAAAGTGAATAAATGCTCTCTTTTCGTAACCACTATTTGTCGTTCTGATCGAAATCCTACTGTTATATGTTTAGATAATCTTTACGCATTGGACATTGCAGAAATTATTTTGTGACATTCATGTTTTTGTTCATTTACAAAACAAAATCTGCGGTTATGTGGTGAGGCGGCGGCGCCCACAAAATCGCGTCCGTCCCACGCGACCGAAAAGTGGAAAAGGGGCGTCGTCGTGAATGTGTTAAAGTACTGGGGACCTTCGTGGAGCGTATATAAAAAATTATGACAGAGCCATTAATAGATAAAAAGCGTGAATTTGTTTTCCAAGCTTCCGAACTTTTGTAAATGGGCCAAAAAATGAAAATTTGTTTCTTGATTTGCTAAGTTGATTTTTCTTCAACATAACAGGTTCTCTTCTCTTCTCTTCCGAAAATCCACTGCCAATTCCATCAAGTACCATCCCGTACGTGAGGGGCGGCTCCCTCACGGTGAATAACGGTGTAGGATTCCTTAACGAAGGGTCGTATTTGCCCCTGGGTTGCCGAACTTTTCCCAAAACGAATATCAGTTGGAAGGAATGGGGGAGCGATGAGTTAGGTGAGAGAATTAGTGGCGTTAAGCGATGGTGGCGTCAAACCTTAAAAATGTGAAATAAGAAGGAACCCCTCACGGAAAATTCTTTTCCAACACGAATATCAGTTGTGATCACTAGAGACAACATACAAAGTTTCACGCACGAAGATTCAGTTTCCGAAGAGAACAAACTTACAAAAACCACACTCTATGGACAATCGAAGGTAAGTGGCGCGGAGCCAAAGGCGGGGCATGGAAAGAAGTCCGGGGCTACGTATCAGGCGACGCAATGAAAGAATCGGGTTAAAGCGTGCGATTTGGAGAGTAGAGACAAATCGATCGATAGAATAGGATGCAGTAGAAGTGTGAGATGTTAGTGCAATAAGTCAAAAGGTCAAAAAGAGTTTCTAGTGACAGCACTCCGTGAACCAAGTGGAAGCGTTCCCGCCGCCAGCATTTGTGACAGATGTCCGGCGGGAATTTGAACGCGTAGCAGTCCTTCCGGTTTTCGAATTGTTTACAAAACAAATGCCATTTTTGTTCTTTTTGTTCTTATCGTGAACGATGAGTATCAAGCCAGTTTTATGAGATAGATAGCTTATGATATTCATGAGTTAGAACCACGATTCCCACGGGAGGATTTCTTTATATTTCGGCTTTTCTATGACCCCCCCCCATTCCTTCGACGGCAATTTTTAGAAGAATGGGAGTTATGAGTGTGTAAAGTGAAACTCATCTAAATATATTTTTGACACAATCTACTGGGTGAAGTAGTAATGGTCCTGGGGAGCAGGTCGTAAAGGCTCAAATAAAAGCAAGCTTCGGGATAAAATAGGTGTGGAAGAGGTTCATTAAAGGAATCTTGCGCGGAAAATTCTTGCACTCTTTCCTAACATGAATATGTCAGTTGTGATCACTGGAAATAGCACACAAAGTTTCACGCATGAAGATTCGGTTTCTGAAGAGAAACAAACGTACAAAAACTACACGTTATGGACCATCGAAGGACCAGGAGGCAGAGCCAGGCGAGGCATGGAAAGAAGACGGCGTTTGGCCGGCTACGTACCAGGCGACGCAATGAGAGAATCGGGTTAAAGCGCGCGATTTCGGAGAGTGGAGACAAATCGATCGATGAAT